GGTAGCTGCTGGATGTGGCCAGGCTTTGAGTAGGTTTCCTCCACCTTTTGTTTACTGGTATATGCCTGTCCCCACCACACAGAGGGCCGGGCCTACGCGGTGGTCTTCGACTGCAAGTTCATAGAGACATCAGTAGCACTGCATCACAACGTCCAGGCACTGTTTGAGGGCGTCGTGCGTCAGATACGCCTGCGCAGGGACAGCAAAGAGGATAATGCATGTCGGCAAGCTGGTACCCGGTGACGGGAGAGCCTTGGCAAGAAGGCTTTCTGGGTCACATCGTAGCACGCAACAGCCGTAAGATGGTCTTCTGTGACAAGTCCAAGTCCTGCCATGACCTCACAGTTCTCTAGGGCCCCATAGACTCTCACTTTGGTGGGCAGATGGATGGATGGATGGATGGATGGATGGGTTGATGGGTTGGCCTAGCCAACTGCCCTAGGTGCCTCAGGACTGGCCCACCGTCTGTGTTCCTCAGAGCTGCCAACTGTGTATACCCTGCCTAATGGTCATGGATGGACAGACAGACAGTGATCCCCAGAGAGGCAGCTCCCAGTGGCCTTTGAGGGCTGGGCCCATGGAGATGCATGTGCAGGCCCACATGTATCCCAAGAAGCCTGAGCCCAGCTTGTGGTCATGATCAGGACTCTGCCTTTCTCCACATGGGCTTATGTGTCCTGGAGCAAGGCTGTTCATTATGGTTGCTATTTGTTTACATGCAGATTTTTGTAATAAAGACTATTTCCTGACAAGTCAAGATTGTTGACTATGTTTCTCCCATCAGGACTTCTGGAACAGAAAGAGCTTCTAAAATTGAGAGATAGGGGCTCCCAGCCCACACAAGCCAGTACATGGTCTTGATCCAAATGTTTGGCCTGGATGTAGCGAGTACATTGGCGGGAACAGGTGGGGAACCTGTGATGGTTAGAAGTGTTCAAAGAGCAGGAGGAAACACAAACTCCTCCCAGCCCATTATCCAAATCCTTCTGCACTGTGTCCTGACATTGTCTAGCTGATTGAATCTATTGTTTCTCTTTATATCTAAAGGAAACTGAGGCTGCCCAAGGCAGCACACTCCCTGACAAGAATGTGGGCTGTGACTCTACAGCTGGTGTTTCCACCCTGTCCTTCCTGAGGGGCTGGGAACCATTTAAAGTGAGGACAGCAGTGAGAGACCTGGTTGGATAGTGGGTACTGATGGCTCCTCCACTTCCTGGCTGAGGTTATGCTACAGGGCTCCATGTTCTTTCTATGAGTGGCTAGGCTGACATATTGGCTAATTTGTTTTTGGCAAGAACAGCTCTCTAGAGCCTTCCCTGTCTGGAATGCAGATTTCATATTTGTAAAAGAATATGTTCCTGTGTGCCATGGTTGTCCCCCTAACCTATTCAGGCCCTCCCAGAAGGGGCACATTTGACTC